TGTATATATGTATATATATACATTTGTTTGTATATATACAATATGTGTTTTATATTCTATGTACTATATTATCAATATTCCAACTTTTTATTTACTCGCAATTTGAAACAAGCATACCTTTAATATGATGGCATAGTATATTTATATATAAATTAGTGTGATTATGTATAAATTAGTAGGACTATACATAAATTAGTGGGATTATATATAAAATAGTGGAACCAAATGGTAACTATACAAATTGCTAAGTAAAATTATAGTTGACAGTTGAATTATTATAATATATGAAAGCCGCAATGCTATAACTATATGACCATATTATCAATATTCCAACTTTTTATTTCCCTACAATTTGGAACAAGCATATCTTTAATAAATTAGTGAAACTATGCATAAATTAGTGGAATCAAATAAAAACTATACAAATTGCTGTATATAGCTATGCAGGTCGAATTACTATAATATATGCACATTATAGCAAAGCCGCAATACTACAATAATTTACTATCAACTATGTATTAAACTTGCATGAAAAGGATAAAGTATATGTTATGCCTATTTTTATTAATGAAATAACAAGAGATATTATATATAAGTAATTTCTTATAATTTCAAGCATCTATAAAAGGACCAATTTTTACCTTTAAAAATAATATATCGAGTTGTTAATAGTTAAAGAAATAAACCTACAAATAAAATAAAACTTTAATTAGTATCTCATATTACATAATTATTATTTTAGTAAAAACATAAGTAGTGATAAATCATGTTCTTTGTGCAAATACACTTCATTAACTCTAGAGAAATTTATTTTTGAAAACAAGTCTTACAAGATATGCGCCAATTACTTAATTAAGAAAAAATCTAAGAAAACAGATAAACAATCTCTTTTATCTGATAACGACTCTGAAAGCACTAATATCAGAACAGAAAGTTAATTAAAAAACAATACAAAAAGTCAATTAGAAAACAATACAGAAGAAATCACCTTTATCAATATTATAGAATATATTTCTAATAAAATTTCTGATTTTGAAGAAGACTTAGACATTTCTTTTAACTTGCATATTGAAATTGATAATAATATACTAACAAATGCACAAAATGATACAAAGCTTTAGTAAAATTAATAGTAGATGAGATTGAGGAAGGTGATGAGTATAACTGGATGTAAGTAATCTTTAATCTTTAATTTAAACTCTAAAAAATAAAAATAAAAAAATCAGGTATTTCTAATTACAAGTAACTGTTTGTTTTTTTTCTTTTATTAAATATCTAAATTATTTTTTTTGAATTCATAGATTTACAACTGGGCCTACTAACTCAGTATATCATTCTGAAGTAAGTAATTTCTACCTTGCATGCTCTTAGTGCCGTGAATTAGAATGCGAGTATAAAGAATTGAATCGTAAAAGGATAGACCACTTTGATTATCATAGCAAGCTAATTATTGGTGTAGATATAGCAGCAAAAGAAGCAAAGATAAAGCTTAATCATGATATTTAACATGAAAAGCCCATAGATGTTACAACTTTAAAAAAAATAAAATGTAAAATTATACATAACCTTTATATAGATCCAGTGCAGCTAAGAATACATATTCGTTAAAGATTTGATGCTTTACAGTTTATTCCAAAACAGATCAATTATTGGTAGTCTACTTTTAATCAGTGATTCTTCAAGCTAGACAAAGATCTATTTATTTCTACATGTCAATTTTTAGATAATTCTAACAATAAAGGTGAGTTTTGTTATAAGTGGAATGATGAATTAGTTACAGCAATTAGATTTATAACTCTATAATTAATTCAACTCTTATCTGTGTCAAGCATTCATTGTAATGCAATATATAAAACAGCCAAAGGGTGGTTTGAACTTTATGAAATAATCAGTAGCACACACAGTACAGGATTTTCAGTTGCATATCTAATGCTAAACACCATAAATGCATCTAATAATGCTTAAATGAGGCTAAAAACAAAGGCACTTACAGGTTTTCTTCGCTCTCTTTGCAATAAAGAATTACAGCCACAACACTTCTTCACAGACAAAGACTTCATTTAGATCAATGTTGCAAAGAAAATATGACCTAATATTAATGTATAACTTTGTCTGTAATACATTGAGAAGGCAATAAGAGAAAAAATTAGAAGTTGCAAAAAAATAAAACAAACTCAGTATCAACCAAGTGAAGCAGTTGAAGAGTTTAGTTTTATCAATCTCACCTTTAAGCCTAATTTAAATCATACAGACTCTGAGTACTATTATATATCCAGTAGAACTACAGAATGAAGTTATTAACCTTATTAAAAAATATTTTAACATGCATTAAAAAATACCAGTTAATACTGCTGAGCTGTTTTTAATAGCTGACAAAATCTGTATTGGCATAGTTTATAAAATATATGATTTCTGCTTCAATAACAACCTTGTGTTTCTTTGGGCGTACTTGTGGTCTGAATGGTATAAGATCATAAGGTGAATACTATAAGCTCAGTTATCACAAACAATTATCCTAATTAGTAAGACAAATATATTAATAGAGTTACATTGGAAAGTTGTAAAGTGTTGTTATCTTTACTGCTTTAACAGGCCATGGCTTGATTATGTTGTGTAAATTATTTGTATGCGCTTCCTTTCTGACCAACTAATTCATCTTCATTAAGTGTGCCAAGGATGCATAATACCATTTTGGTTCGAAGATTTCAAGATAAATTGAAATCAGCTTGCTGCAACACCAATTAATGATGATGATCATATCTAATATTTTATTGATTCAGCATGTTGGATTTACAGTTGTCCATTATTTCTTAATTCTTGCTTTCTTATTTGTAAGCATCTGGTCAAATGTGCAATAGTAATAGCAAAACTACAAAATCTACAAAGCATCCAACTTTTGTATTAAAACTTCTAACAGAGAAAAGATTATCCTTTTCTAGTTTAGAATACTAATAAATACATGCTAATAGAGTTTAATATCCAGGAATCAATAGCTAACCAGATTGAATCTGGTAATAATATAATCGAAATAGATAGAGAAGATGGACTATGCCAGAGCGTAGGGTCGATTTTACTGTCACGTGATAGTCGAAAAACAAATGTTGTTAAGATAAAAACTTGGTTTAGAGTTTAGGTTAAGGTTAGGCTAAAGTTAGGAAGAACAATAATGTAGTAAAATCGCACAAGGAGATTTTTTTGTTAGGACCCCAAAGATGGTTTACTAGACTAAATTTTGAGATAAATGCGATTTTTGCAAAGCGAACGTTTGTTTTGAATTTCTTCACGTTACACCTGATCCTGATCTTTGATTGGTTGATAGACGTCGGAAAATCATGTGACAGTAAAATTGATCCTACGCCCTGGCGTAGTCGAGAAGATGAAGCACCTGGTTCAAGATTAGGAGATAACTTGGTCGAAATAGATGAAAACGAAGAAGTATTTAATTCAGAAATTCACTAGTTCTGTAAACAAAAGGTTGAAGCTGTAAGACATATAGCAGATCACTTTAAGCAAAAACTTGTTGCAAATAATTTCAACCACATTATCTATATAACCAATAATATGAATAGATTGTTTACAATTTTGAATGATATTGAGATAATGCAAAATAAAAGAAGGCGTAATTTGACGTAACAAGAATCAATTCCATAAACACTATATTTACTATAAAAAATTTAAAATATATAGTTTAGTCAGAGAATAAATTATAAAAAAATATATGTAAATTTAATTATCTATATCAGTATGATAATTTTTATAATCAGTCGCTATTCAAAAAAAAATTAAAATAAAAATAAAAATAAAAAATTGAATAAAGTGTAAAGTTTCAAATAAAACAAAAAAAATTAAAAATTTATAATCTAAAGCATTCTCTTAGTTTGTAAGTAGTGATGAGAATTTCTAATTATTAACAATTATTAACTATATAAATCACTTTAACAATTAAAAAATTTATATAGTTAACAATTTGTTAACAATTATTAATAATTAAAAATTCTTATCGCTATTTGTAAACATATAAATTAACTTATTTTTGTATAATAAATTTTACATTATCTGTAATTATAAAGAAGTTCGGTTACTTACAGTATAAGTAAAAAACATAAAAGTTACAATTAGAATAAACCAAAAATATAACTCATTTTATTTGAAGTATTTCTATATGCTTTGTATAGTATAATAAAACTTTGAAGTTTCGCAATTCATAAATAAATTTTTGTAATAAAAGCTGTAAAATCTAGAAATAATAAAACAGTAAAGACATAAACCTGTAAGCATATAAATTAACTTATTTTTGTATAATAAATTTTATATTATCTGTAATTATAAAGAAGTTCGGTTACTTATAAGTAAAAAACATAAAAGTTACAATTAGAATAAACCAAAAATATAACTCATTTTATTTGAAGTATTTCTATATGCTTTGTATAGTATAATAAAACTTTGAAGTTTCGCAATTCATAAATAAATTTTTGTAATAAAAGCTGTAAAATCTAGAAATAATAAAACAGTAAAGACATAAACCTGTAAGCATATAAATTAACTTATTTTTGTATAATAAATTTTACATTATCTGTAATTATAAAGAAGTTTGGTTACTTATAAATAAAAAGCATAAAAGTTACAATTAGAATAAACTAAAAATATAACACATCTTATTTGAAGTATTTCTATATGCTTTGTACAGTATGATAAAACTTTGAAGTTTCGCAATTTATAAATAAAATTTTATAATAAAAGCTATAAAATCTAGAAATAATAAAACAGTAAAGGCATAAACCTGTAAGCATATAAATTAACTTATTTTTGTATAATAAATTTTACATTATCTGCAAATATAAAGAAGTTCGATTACTCATAAATAAAAAGCATAAAATTTCAATTAGAATAAAACTAAAATAAAACTCATCTTATTTGAAGTATTTCTACATGCTTTGTATAATAATTTTTGTAATAAAAGCCATAAAATCTAGAAATAATAAAACAGTAAAGGCATAAAGTTGTAATTATTTTAAAAATATATAATATAGTATATATATGTATGAATCTTCTGCAATTATAAAAAAGTACTCCTAGAGAGTACTCTATCAAATCAAAGTCTTGTTATATTCTTTTAATATCAGTAGACTTCTGTAATTGCTTTTGTCCAGTATTTTTTAAGAATCGCTCTAAGTACTTCGGTTTGGATTTTAGTCTTCTTCTTACATAAAATTTTTTAGATACAAATAAGTTTGCCACAGTTTTTTGATTTGTACTGTGTGTATTGTAAAAACACTCTAATGATAAAGAAAGAATATAGATTAAGAATAGTAAAAAAGAATGCTTTAACAGTAAAGGAAAAATATAGATTAAGAATAGTTCTTGTGATAAAAAAAAAAGCAAGTTACAGTGTGACGATCATTATTAACAGGCACCTATTTCAGGATTAGATTAGAGCATCGAAGTATATGTGACCCAGAAAATCCTATCTACATCCTGGATCTGTGCTAAGTGGCAAGTCTAGAGTTCGAATTTTACTGGAGACATTTTTAGAAAAATAAGCATGTGTATTAGTAACAATTATTCGACAATTGATTAGGTATATTACCTGTAATCTTAGTACTACTATATTGAAATAGAAGCTTTTAGCCAATCCAAATCCAAGAAACTGGAATAATTGAAACCCATTTGGCAAGACCTGAGTAAGAAGATAGTGAAATCTTTGTTGATACTGCAGAAAAGTTGAAAACCAGAGACCAAAGAACTAGATGAAAACCCTGAGACAAGAAGGATCCACCAATCTGACCGTTAGAGTCATATTAGAGGAAACCAAAAAGCACTTAAAGCCTAGATACAACAACCTATCCAGGCTAACTGGTTTAGTAGTTGGAAATGAATCGGTATAAGGACCAGCTTGATGTAGATATCAGGATCAGAATGAACTTTGCAAAACCACTGAATATTGGAATTGTACAGTTTAATGGTTTGCCCTAACTGCTAGTGGTGGTTTCGGCTGCTGCAAAAAATATTCATAGTCTAATCTGAAAATACATAGAATATAGAAAGATTAGGGTATGTACTACACCTATCTAAGGCAACTCGGTAGTATAAGAACTCTACTGAGTTATTTATAAAATTAGAGCACAAGTAGTATAGCAGATATCGATCTGGGTGGCTTCAATAAGAAGTAGCATGAGGTTATGAATTGGTGTGATTGTGGTGATAGTGCAGGACAGAAGACATCTGAGAGTTTAAATAGGTAATCTTCTAGATAGGTTGCAGGTATAGCATATAATGTAGAATCTTCGGGTAAACTACTTAAATTAGATGACCAAAAGTTGCATGTGTGGCTACATATACTTTTGTTAACTAAGAATATACTACTAAATATACCTAATAAAAATTTACTCTTCTGTGATATTGTGAAGGTAAAAAAAATTATAAGTTATTCGCAAGTTAATTAATTATATAATTTAATAATTAATAGTTTGTATGAATGAAGTTTTAATGATTAATAGTTTGTATAAATAAAATTTTAATAATTACATAATACATATTGTTATAGAACCGTTTATTATTTTATTAGATTAATATTCCGATATTGTATAATTATTATTGTTATTATTTTATT